TGAGAGCGATGACATTCGAAATGCGCTGGTGCTCAGGTCCTCGCAGATGAGGGCATTGCTGCGCTCTTTACCGGACTGTCTACTACAGCATCTTGGCCGGCTATGGGCTGGGACGGTGTGAAAATGTTTCGGCAAAGTCTCGGCAAGTCTTGGCACCGCGCAAGGTGGTGCGAAATTCTATTTGGAATGGTGCCGCTGCCTTAGTATACTTCTACCTGATTCTACCTGTGGCCGTATGAGCTTGGCACGCATGCCTCGGCCAACTGAGATCTATTTCGGATCCATTGCCAAAATTTCGCAGCATTTCGGTCCTGGACCCGAGGGCATGGCATCTGTCCCAGTTGGGGCAGCTGCAGAATCGGCAGCTGCTAGCACGCTAGACAAAACTCCCTCAGTGCAAGGATGTTCAAGGATGGCTGCTTGAGGTTTGTGAGGAAATGGCCATGGTCATCAGTGGGCTCGTCCCGTAAACGTTCTGCCTAGAAGTTAGCCTGTGAAAGTTGACGAAGAATCTTCTGACTGCGCTCTTAGCATGAAATCGACAGCGATGTCGATTGGTCATGTTGCCTGCGGGACGGTCATCAATCATAGACAAGCATTTCCAGCTCCATATCATTCAACCCGGTCGAGACCTGTGCTTGCCTGAATAGCTGCAGAAATCAATCACGGGAAGCGACACTTGCGACGCTTGCTTGTGTACGACTCGCAGCCTGCAAGCCATGCCGGAAAAACAACTTAGCTAGAAGGTCCCGCATGTATGCAAGAAAGGGCTGGTTGCACAACCAAAAAAGACAAGGCAGCTAGATGGCCGGGCGGGACTACAAACAGCAAGAAAACGTCGGATGTGACACCAATTGACTTAGTGTATTAGCATGGAGTAATTTCAAGGGATGCAGCCACGCTTAGCTTTGAGGCTGGGGAGATACACCGGCTGATCGTTGGGCTATGTGCTGGGATTCTGGCCACGCCCTGCCCTCAATCATAAACTTGATGCAGCGTCCAGATTTGCCATACCTGTTTAGAGGTGCTTTGATGCTCCACTTGATGTGGTGCCAAGCTCTCAGTTCCAGCAACATATCCTATAGTACCTATAGGATACCACAGGAAGAGAATGCAATGCAGCGGCAGCATGGCACGCCATCAGGAAGAGTCGTATCCAGGAAGGCAGAGCGACACCCACAAGGACGTGCCATTTCAAGTTGATTATGCCGAGTCCTGCTTTTTCAAGCCATGCTGAAAATCAAACGTAGCCTGAATATACCAACGGTGCAACCATGCAATGCCTTCAAACAGTTTCAAACAACATCCACACGAAAGGGTTTATCTGATCTCTTTCGGGCATGCGCTAATCCAACTCGGTTTGGGCAAATCGCGTGGAACCGTTGGCATCACTATCGCTTGCATGCATCTGCCTGAGATGTGAATGAACTTGCCTAAACAAGAGTTGCTTGTGCGCATCCAGACTTTAATCGCTTGGGTTTATGTTTTGGAAAGTTGTAACCGGAATGGAGCTCGAATGCACGCGCATGTTTCAGTGCGACGACAAATGCTGCTGCTGCTGCTACTACTACTACTACTACCACCACCATCATCACCACCACGACTGCTGCTACTACTACTGCTATTACTGCTGATTACTTCCTTCCGTTGCGCAAGAGTCCGATGGCTCCTTAGCGTAGCCGGCAAGCGATGCTCATACCGCTCGGCTACTCGAAGTAGCTACCCCTTAAGGGCACCCAGTAAAGGACAACGAGCTTGTTCCGTAGAACCAAGCAGCTCGTTCAGTGCTGCACAGCAAGCCCTGGCCGAAAGCCCTGCAGCTTGCCCTCGCTATACGCGGATACATTAACATACTGCACAAGAGGGAGCATGTACATTTCAAAATGAGCCAGAGGTATTACCACGACAGGGAATATTTGGCAGTGACAGGTTTAAATTTTGCAGTGATTTGTTTGCCTCTCTTCCACAATAGACCACAATAGGGCTTGTGACCGTATATTTGGTACTGTTAGGCCTGAAACACACCGAAAACATGGCTCCCAAGCCTTTATAGCAGCAGAAGCAAGGCCCCGGGGCTTGTTGCGGAAGAGATTGGCGGGAGCCACATTTTTGGTTCGTTTAAGGCCTAGTAGGGCAAAAAATACGGCTCCCAAACCCTACAAGGTCCCGGGGCTTGTTGCGGAAGAGATTGGCGGGAGCCGCATTTTTGTTCCGTTTAAGGCCTAATAGGGCCAAAAATACCAAGCCCTAAGGCCCCGGGGCTTGTTGCACAAGAGATTGGGAGCCGCATTTTTTGGACCGTTTAAAGCCAGGGCCGAAAATACGGTTCCCAAAAGGCCCCAGGTCGTGTTACGGAAAAGATTTCGGGAGCCGCATTTTTGGTCCGTTTAAAGCCTCATAGGGCCAAAAATACGGCTCCCAGCCGTACAAGGCCCTGGGGTTTGTTTGGCGGGAGCCGCATTTTTGGTCCGTTTAAACCCTGGCTCCCAGCCCTGCTAGGCCCCGGGCCTTGTTGCGGAAGAGATTGGCGGGAGCCGCAAGGGCCAAAAATACGGCTCCCAAGCCCTACAAGGCCCTGGGGCTTGTTGCGGAAGAGATTGGCGGGAGCCGTATTTTTGGTCAAACGGGAAAAAAATACGGCTCCCAAGCCTTACAAGGCTCGGGGCTTGTTGCGGAAGAGATTGGCGGGAACCGCGTTTTTGGTCCGTTTAAGGCCTCATAGGGCCAAGAATACGGCTCCCAAGCCCTACAAAGTCCTGGGGCTTGTTGTGGAAGAGATGGGTGGAGCCGCATTTTTAGTCGGTTTTAAGGCCTAATAAGGCCAAAAATCTCTACAAGGCCCCGGGGCTTGTTGCGGAAGAGATTGGCGGGAGCCGCATTTTTGGTCCGTTTAAACCCTAATAGGGCCAAAAATACGGCACCTTACGGCTCCCAAGCCCTACAAGGCCCCGGGGATTGGCGGGAGCCGCGTTTTTGGTCCGTTTAAAGCCTAATAGGGCCGAAAATACGGCTCCCAAGCCTTACAAGGCCCGGGGCTTGTTGCGGAAGAGATTGGCGGGAACCGCATTTTTGGTCCTATTAAATTTTTAATGGGCCAAAAATACGGGCCTTTAAACGGACCAAAATGACGGCTTTTGCGGGAGCCGAATTTTTGATCCTATTAAGCCTTAAATGGGTCAAAATAAGGCTCCCGCGGAAGACCCCGCGGGAGCCGTAGTTTTGGTCCTATTAAGCCTTAAATGGGCCAAAAATACGGCTCCCTAGGCCTGATAGCACCGAAAACACGGCTTCGCGCATGAAACTGCCCCCCTCAGCCCTTATCATGCCTAGAATTGCGAAACCAATAGTGGTAAAATGGTTTTGTGTTGTGGTAAACAAGGTGTCTTTCTTATCGTGGTTATACCCCCTCCTCATTTCAAAATCTAGAGAGCACATCCAAAGTGAATCAAAATTGGCAAGTTGACTTCCACAAACGAAGTGTACACTTTATGTAGGCTAAACGTTCTGCATGCACACACTCGGCACTCAGCTGCAGAACATTGTATCATTTTCCATCAGCGTCCTTCATAGGCTGGAATCCCATTCTGCGAAGCTCCAGTTTGTCCGATGCGGAAATGAACTCTGGATTGCGCGCATGATATCCAATCAGCACTAAGCGGTTCCCCACCCTTTGGGAAGTTGCGTGCCGAATCCTTGGGTTGAAACATATAGATGGTCTACTAACTGGAACTAATCTGCCCAAGAAGCCTTCCACTTCCTGAGTGCCCGAACCATCTTCAAGGCAAAGCTCTCCATGCAAAAAGTCTGAGGCAGGGATCAAAGTATTCGGGACGATGGCAGAGTTATTGGAATCTCGGTGAGCTCCAGATTTCAAGTTCAGGGAAATGCCCGCCGATGAAAACCAGGAACATGGCGCAACACTCCGAATGACAGCCTCAATCAAGGAAGTCACTAGAGGAAAACGGCGTGCATTGTTTGTTATCCCAGCTGAATTTCCATGAACATATGCCCCCGTTAAGAACGAGCATGAACAAACTCTCCCTGGCTCTGCGTGCTGGAAGTTCCTTGTACTTGATGGCAAGTGCTCTGTCCGGCGCATCAAGTCGTCCTCCCACAACCATCGTTCCCGTAGGGCATGTAGATCAATCACTTCACTTTCATGTTCAGGATTCATACCCTCAAGCTACAAACCACTAGGAACCATCAAGTTGAAGCCTGTCTGAGGTATAGGGCCTCGTACTGGTGACGGCGAGTAGCCTGCTAAACTGCTGGCATGGTCGTTGTCCGTGGTTGTATGTGCCTCGGAAGTGTCTGTTGGAGACGGAAATGTAGGCTCCGAAACATCCAGCGCTTCTGCTCCTGGTGCTGCTAGGCCAAGTATGGATGGCGCCTCAAGCCAAAATAGCCCGTTCCACTCTTCTTCGCTGAAACCAGGAGGTGTTCGCCCTGGAAGCAGACGACATGTTCAATTGGAGCAAAAATCTTCGACAGGGTCCAGCTACAAGGTGTCGCGGATTGCCATGCAGCATACACCCAATAACCCCAATCAAGGCGCAGATCCAAGTCATGCCCGCGTCACCAGCGACGCACACAAAGAAGGCAATCGACCTGAGCTAGCAAAAGTAGAATGTAAACTGGCAATGCTCGAAGACAATGGGCAGGTAGAATTTTTCCATTTCCGGAACGTCTTCATGCACGAATACGGAGCTGCAATGAGGGCAAAAGCACATCCACACTGGGAGCCTTGGCAAATCACCCAACGTTCTTGAAAATCTGCACAGCCATGTTCGAGCGCTGGGCCCGGTCGGGTTTGAGCGAGCAGCCACAAAGTTGAAGAGCGCTGTTCATGCAAAGAGCTCTCAAATGAAGTCCGAGTTGTTGAGCACTTTCGGAAGTCAAACTTGTCTTTAGCAAACGACTACGCTTTCACCGGACATGGAGTCGGAGATTGGTCTTACAGGATGAAATCTTGTGAGCGCATGATGCTCCTCTGTGCTGTGTCAGATCACGGCCTTGAGGTGGTCCACCAACATGGCACTAGGCAAGCCCCGGTGACTTTTCACTGGAAGAGGCTTCTTCGAGTCCGAGTCCCATGCCAGCGCCGGCCAGAAGTTCAGATCCTCGGAGATCCATCCATGAGCCTTGAACTCGCCCAGTTGCGCTTCGTCGTCTGGCAGCCGCTCAACCCGGCTCATATTTCTTTGCACAAACATAGTATGAGAGTGGACCTCATAGGTTTGTCCAGCTTTTCCGGCTGGTTCTTCTTCATCGCCTGAACGCGGTACAAGGATCCGACAATGCTGGACTCGCGTCCGATCTTGGCGTGGATTACGAAGGATACTTCTGCGCGTAGCATGTTTAGCCCATCCTCATGGCGTGAGGCCATCCTCGAAAGAAGGGACACCTGCTGCTCCAGCGCAGCAATGCGATCTCCAGATTTGGAGTCACTCCCGTCTTTGCTCCATCCCCAGCTTTGCCAGTCCTGATTGGCGTGCCCATCATGGCTGGAGTGCGACTTGCTGCTGGGTGCTGGTTTCCAGTCGTTTCCCTTTCCTCTGCCGCCGCCGTTGCCCTTCTCGTTTGATCGAGGATATTTGAGAGGCGTACCCTCATCCTTCTTGTCCGTCGATTCAGCTGCCTGCTTCCCACTGGACATGATTTTGTCAAAGAAAGCCAGCTCCTGCTGCTGAACGGGATCCATGTGCTCGGTCATCTCTCTTACTAATGTTGCCCCAAAGCTCTAAGCTTGAGAGGATCGGAACATGAAAAGCATGTATGCGTTTCGCGGATGCTCATCACTCAGCTCAACCGTCCTTGCTCGAACCCCATCATCCGAGTACCCCCACTGATTTCTGTCTCGTAGGAGAGCTCGATAGTGTCTGGATGTGGGCCTTGCTCCCAAGTGAATCACCACGCCTTGATTACGTACTCCCCCCAAACTACGCTCAATCCATCCTGAAAGACCGGCACCAAAACTGCTGGGGCCAAGTCAATATGGGTGGTGTTCTTTCGTCCATTGATGTAACTTCCAAATTGCACAATGAGAACACTGCCAGGGCGGGAAACTGCACAAAGAAATCCCGCTTCATGCCACACTGCGAATGCCTGCGAAGGAGTCCAGGCATCAGTCTCCGGGACCTCCAAAAATTTGATGGGGCCACCTCAGTCAGCTATATGAATGCTACCCTGCCTCAGTTGTCTGGCCTCCCATTTGAACCACGCTTCGGATCTCTCCGACAGCAAAGACATTAGAAATTCCGAGACATCCCGCTGAGAAGGTCCAAAGTTCCACCTGTGCGGCAGGCTCCGAACTTCAAGTTGCCGAGAGAGAACAAGAGGACTGCCACTGCCAGCGCTGCACCTACAAAGAGCGACGATGCCCGCCATCTCCGCGAAGTTCAGGTCCTGAAGCGTGTGCACAATCGACGTCACTTCGGCGCAAAGCTGATGTGGATTCCCTAGCCTGATATTGAAGGTCCACGGCCGCAGCTCTGACCTCTCGGTCTCGGTTGCTGCTTGTCCTGCAGGCCCTGTCTGGTTTCTCCGGAACATTGGATAAATCTTCGCCTGTCCTGATGCTAGCCCCGTAGCCGTGGATCTCTGCGTTTTCCTGCCCACAACTGCCGCCGCTCCCAATTTCTCACTATGCCCTTCACTCGAACAAGGAGCCTTCATTGCCTACTGCTACTACTGCTACTGTTGCCGCTACTGCTACTGCTACTGCTACTGCGGTTATGGCCAGTCAGCTGGGTTTGCCGGTTCCCCTACCTGATCCTATATGTTACTTGCGCCCGCCAGCAGGACCTGTTTGTCCTCGCATGTCCCAACCAGTGCTCAAGCTCCTCTCCTCTTGGGGCTGATCGTAGCAACAACTTTTTGTTGGGAAACACTTACTTCCAGCTCTAGGGATGCTTAAGGACTTAAGATGCGAGGAAGGAACCATCAGCTGGGCCTTGCAAGGAACATGTGATGTGCCCATGGTCACGCAGTACATCGTGCGTATCGTACTTCCGACGACAGAACTTTCCATCGTGGCCCGTTAGTACAAGGCAAGAATGGCTAGTTCTAAACCATTCTTGGAATTTTTGGTGTTCTTTTACATGCAGCATTCCCCGAATGTGTAGCAAAAGGGGTGTCGCTTTAATGGGCAAATCAGGAGAATGAGTGGGCGTGATCAGAGAGCTACTGCGCGCGGTCTGATCACAATCGTCTGCTCAGGGGGAGGAGTGGAAAGTGATCGCGAGGCCAGCCGTTGATCCAGCCCGATCAAACCCCAGGTGCTGGTGCACGGTCATCGATCTTAAACGAGGGGTTCATGACCACATGATACGAGGCTGCAAATTGATCAGAGCGACCGCTCCCATGTATGACGCGCAGGCCGTGGGCCACAGATTGTCCAGAAGCCAATACTGTTCAACAGGGCAGGAAAGCATGAAAAACTATCTGCCTTCAGATTCCATGTTATGAATTGGGTGAGGGTACCCCCCTTGTAAAACCAGTTGGTGTGCATGGAGTGTCGCGCCCATCCCATTGTAACATTTGTTTAGCCATGGACTCCGCCCCATTTGTTTAGAGAAAAAGACATTTTCCTCAGGGGTGGTACCATCATTGTGAAAGCTAAGGAAGGGGTTCCCCCACTATCCAGCACCAACGGGGGCAGGGACGTGATACCCTGTATTTCTCTAATGGTAAGGGCTCTAGACACAGGAGAGTATTAAAAAAACAAAGATATGAGGGGCTAAAAAAAGGAAACAAAAGGAAAGTATGCCCCACAAGCAGAATTAATATGGTGCAGATGCATATGTATATATATATATACATATACATATATTTGAGGGGCTACGCCCAGGGGCGGGCAATGCAGGCAGCATG